CCAGAACTTTGAAATCCATAGAAACAATTTTGAAATATACAGTACATAGAATAAGCAAGATGGAACTATTTTAGGCTCTTGAAAAAAGTAAGTTATTATAAAAGAAATCTGAAAAAGTTCAGGTCATAGAAATATGATCTAATTAAAGTGAGTAAAGGATGCAGAACTTAAGCTGCTTTACCTTATATGGTGCTGCAATGTGATTAGGTAATTAGTCAGTACATTTGATAATTGCAAAGTGATGGAAGGGGAAAGTCTAAAACAATTATAAAGGAAATAAAAGTTTATTTTAATATAAAATAAAATATAAGGAATGAATAGAAGGGAAAATTAAAAACATTTAAGTAAACCTAAAATACTTATGGGAAATATTTCTATGTATACATACTTAGTCTATTAGATGGTTATATAAAGTTTTAATGCTGATGAATATGTTATACATGTTGCCTTAGGGACATGAACAGAGGAACAAGGAAAGGAAAGGAGAAAAGACTGTTGTAGATAAAATGAATTTGCTCATCTGTAGAAGAAAATATTTTCCTTAGAAAGTTAAAAGATTCTTGTATTAGTAATTTACATGTTTCTGTTGAATGGTTGTGAGGTATTTAAATATGTCAAATTATAAAATCGTTTGAATTGTAAAAAGCTAGAGGAAGAATGCACTTAAAACCTTGCAGGTTGCTAACTAATCGCAGGAGTACTTAAAGGGAAGTGGAAATGTCAGGATCATAAATTAGCTTTTACTTCAGTGAAAGTCTTGATTAATCTGAGGACATAACATCTGGACGTGAGTAGAGATCCAGAAAGCTGTCATTACTAACTTCCCCGTCTCCTGTCCTCTAATCTAAGAGTGATTTATCTGAAGGTGAAGTGATGATATATTAGTATCAATTGAAATAGTTGTGTAATTCTAATAGTCAACAGAAAGTTTAAAAAACTTTTGCAAGCCATGTGAAATCTGTTTGAAAATATTCCCATTTTAATAGTCTTGAAAACTAGTTAAAATCATCATTGCTATTTTGAGTCTCTTTGCTCACTCTGTAGATGTACTTTATTTATAGTTTTTATTTATTCCATACAACTATACATTATTTTATCTTTGATATTACTGATAGCTTGGCAAATGTTAAGAAAAACATCTCAGTGTTATAGTATTATTTTATATATGAATAAGAACTGCTTTCCAAGGAGGGGATGAAGAAAAATTTTAAAAGGAGAGAGAAGAATGAAATATTTTCTTTCAATTCTACACTTTTATATGAAAGATTTTCCTAATACGAACAACTAAGAATATGTTCTTCCCATTGGAACTAAGTTTAGTAAAATTTCTCTAATCAAGAAATAAAAAAAGAGAAAAATCTAGGGCCAAGCTTTTAAGAGAAAGATGTGTTAGGAGTTGAAGTGTAGCTATTGTCAAAGACAAATTATACCTATCCATGTCACTGGACCTCAGCACAGACAGGGCAAAAAATGAAATGAGAGGGGTGAGCCCCTGGGGAGGTTCCGTGGTCCTTATTTATTTGACTAACCTTAAGAATTATCAAAAGTCATCTAGTTTTAGAAGCATTATCAGCTACTTAGGTCAAGAAGAAAACTAACTTTGAAAAATGACTGCAAAGAAAGCATAAGAAATTTCACAACAGTAAAATTTTGTTTACAGTAATGTTAAGAAAACAAATCCCTATATGGATTAATAGAATGTATCAAGTATAACATGTCTCAGAGTAAAAGCATGAAAATCTTTTGAATTATCAAAAACAAATTTGCAGAATATAAAGAAATGGAAAAAATAATGCAAACATATAAGAACATCAAAAAGAACATGCACTGCAGCCTTGCATCGTAACATTTTGAATTTCTGAACTGACTTTTTTATGAAATTCTTCTAACTAATGACAATACAGAAAAAGAAACTCTCTGAGTGAAAATATAGAACTGAAACAATTACTTTGGTGCCAGTATTAGAAGTATGACCAAGACCAGCTAGAGGTTTGGTTAACATGTGAAGAATTTGTGTCTTCCTTTAATAAAAAGTAGTAGTTGAATAATATATTTTGTGAGATGCATGGATGTCCTTTTAGACACAGTTTAATGACCCGTAACTATCCATATACGTGTGTACACACACATACTCATAAATCCCATGAGATTATTCATTTGTATGAAGTCAACAATTAGAAATTGTGGCAATATTAAATGTTGGTAAGTGAACTGTGGTTTATGGTAGGGATACGCACTTATCCCTCAGGACTCAACATTAAGGCTTATTTCTAGATGTTCCTCATACCTTAAAGCCTGATGAAGCCTCAGGTAGGGAGTTTCCAAAGTGACTGGATTAGGACAATGAATGTGGTTTATGTGATGATACCGGAATTAAGGCTATGGATAATATTAGCCCTCCATCCTGGGTGTGGATGGCACCAATCAATAGGTTTATAGCCTGGATACAATTTTGGAGAGAGGGAAGGAAGGCTTGCATGCTGATGCTTTCTGCCTGTCGTAGTATGCCATGAACTGTTTCTCCTCTGTAATACCTCCTGCCATCCACCCTGACTTAGAGCTAGCTAACTATAAACTGGAATTTCTACAAACTGAGCTTAAATAAATTATCTTCTTTACCTTTGGATGTCAGGATTTTGGTTTAGAACGATGAACTCCCACAATTGTTCCAGGTTTTTTCTATATCAGTGACTATTCAATGTAACTCTAGTATGCAAAAAAAAAAAATAGTTGCAAACAGTATCTTACATGGCTGCTTCCAGGGTAGATCTGTTTTAATCATATTTTCCTCACTGGTCAGGTATCATGAATCACAATGTGACTTGTGAAAAAATTTGTTTAAGCCACTTAACATTGAAGTCATAAGACTCTTCCTGTCTGAATAAAACTCTGCATATAAATGTTATTATTCACTGATTAAAAACATACTGAGTTGCAGTGATCTATATCTCCAACCAATTCAATTTTCTTGATTGTCTGATTTTCTTGATTGAATGATACTTCTATAAGAAAATTTATAATTAATATTCAATTATAATACAATGTTCAAACATCAGGCCTGGTATCTGTATCACAGGATATATTGTTGGTTACACAAAAATAGTCACTTAAACTATATAGTATAAAAGGCCATTTTACATAGAATGACTGATTAAAATACTAGAACATGTACTTTGGTTATGCTAGCATCACTTATCTATAGACAAAGGGAATGTGTCCAGTTTCTCAGAAAGTGATGATCAATGATAACATAGATACTATGTTAGTGTAGTAAATATTCTAAGTCCGAAGTAACAGGAAAACATAGAGGAAACATATTTTACAAACTTCTTTCCAGAAAAGAAATGTTTCCCTTTCAATCAGGAAAGGCATAAGGATAATTTTAAAGCAGGGAAAGAAACCTGTTAAAAGTACATGAGGTCTATTTACATTCTCTTTTCATTTTTTATAGCATCATTTTGTGTATGGAACTTTATAAATTGAGAGGAGACATAGAGTATCATCAAAACCATTCACACTAGTACATTTCTTGACATCTAACAGTTGTAGAAACCTTTATACTGAAAATGTAATTTTGTTGTTTTAACTAAAGTTTGGTGAATTATTTAGAAGGAAATGTTTGTTTTAATTCATCAATGTTTCTCAGATGGAACGACTTACAAAATAAGGCCCTTAGTGTGTGTGTGTGTGTGTGTGTGTGGTGTGGTGTTAACGACTTCTATTTGACCTAAACAGTTAAAAGTTACTTAGTTTAATTTAATTGTATGCTACTGCCATCTGTTTGAAAGTTTCTAAACAACAGTTTTGTAGGTTATGTCAGTATATCTCCCCAAAGCCTCAGGCAGTCATGAGGGTGGGCTTCTACAGTTTGTGGTTGATTCTTGGTCCAATGTTGGGATTATGGGTGTGAGTGCTGCACTCATCCTAGGGTGGGTAATTTACATACAATGTAAGGGACAGAAAGATGCTTCTCTCCACTCCTCGCTCTTTTATTCTTGTTACATGTTCTGTCTTCCACTACCATGAACTGTTTTCCTCTGCCATGTGCCATTCTGCCTTGGACCCAGGTGATTATGGGCTAAAACCTCCACATACTGTTAGTTAAACAAACTTTTCCTCCTTTAACTTTTGATGTTGGGTATTTTGTCCAAGCAATGAGAAAAAAATAATCAACATGTACGGTTATCTAACTTTCATTTCTAAAAACTTTATTGTAAAAGTCTCTAACAGAGTTAAACTCATGATAAAACCATAATAAATGATGGTCAGTTGGAAAGTGAGCAAGATGTAAAATGTTCTTCATATTAGAATTTGTTTAATGAGATTTTCTAAAATGTCTCAAAGTACAGCTAAATAAGTTTTGTTCATTCTTCCCAAAAGCTCAGTATGTTCCTATTAAGACAAAATTAACAGCAGAAAATCTTTTCTGTTGAGGAGTATCAGTCAGAAATTGAGATGCTGAGGAATCCTATCTGGTATATCACATGATGAAATATATCAGGCTGTACAGGCAGAGTTAGAAAAAATATAAAATGGAAGTTGATCACTTTTTGGGAAATACATTTAAACCCTGACAGTGTCTACTCACTTTTAAACCCTGTTATATTTGATGTTGGATCATGGACGTGATGAGGTTTTCTTAATGCATGATGAGAACTAGAATTAAATTATTCAAAATAAGGGCTGCACGAAGTTAAGTTTCTTTAGAAATTTATGGGTTTGATCTAAAGGCACAAATTAGATGAGACTCTATTAGTGTTTCTTGTCTTCTAAATTATTGAACATTCTCTATTGGTTAAAAAGGATGCATATCAATATTTGAATAGTCAAAGGAGTGAGTTTAGAAAACATTATCCTGAGCATCCTTCACATTTACCACGCTAATAGGAAGTTCACTTGAATACAGGCAATGGATCTATGTCCATGTGGCTGAACTAACAAGGGTAGAGCTTTATACAATGCATCAGTATTTATGCAACAAGCTAACTGTAATGTGTCAAATCCTTTGGATTATGTATATGATGTATGATGTTCATGCTATATGCATGAGATGTGTCTCCTTTAAACCTTGCTATGATATAGACATGTTACCTGTTTGAGATATAAAAAAAATATAATATGGCAGTTATTTAAGTTTAAAGCTTAAGTGAAGTTTATGTTTCAAAACTTTTTTAAAAATTCCTGCTTCTCCGCATATAGTGAGGAGGGTAGGTAAGATTAAGTTTTACCTATGAAAATGGTCAACAGCAAGGAAGAAATTGAGTCACGAAGACAGTGTAGGATACAAGAATGGATTGACAACTTCTAGTCTTGGGCATAGATGCAAATAAACTTACATGCCATGAAGCCACCATTAGTTTGAATTACTCTTAACTCATATCCAAAAGTAATTTTAATGTGCATAATACAAATTATCAGTTACTTATATTTGATAAGCTCTGTCCAAATTCTGAATTTCCACTCCTATTATTATTTTACTATTTAATGGAAAATACAAATGCAAGTAGATATTCCAAAGTGATATTGTAAATGCAGAGAGAAGGGACATGCAGCAGAATCAGACTCCCCAACCCGGGAAGCATTAACTACTCTCTCACCCTCAGCCTCCACGTTAAATTGATGAGCAAGTCCAAGTGACTCTTCCACAAAGCCCATCACTTGTCTATGTCTTTCTTGTCATACTTAGAGCTGGCATTTTCATTGTATCCTTCTTCAGGGACTCACATGTTTTTGAACTACTGTTTTCTGGCTTGTAACCCCTCATAACATTTCCAGTACTCTGTTGAAAATCTGATAAATAATTTATTATTGTTAAAATACACTAAATTTATTATTCTTAACATACACTAAATGTCTAGGCTTATGTTGTCTATGTAGAAAATAGTTAATAAGTTTAATAATTTAAGAGAGATTTTTGTACATATTATTTATGTTTAATGATCCCATGACTTAAAATGATGTACTCATAATCATAAAAAAATACAAAATACAAACATTTCTGAAAAATTAGCTATCATTTTAACAGGATATACTTACCTAAGTAGAGTATCAGTTTCAGAAATATATTGTAGATTTTGTATAATAGTTAACTTTGTGCAAAAATATTGTTGTAAAGAAAAAAACACAAATTTTCAAAACTCCATTAAATGTGAATTAATGCAATTGTTTTAAAAGACAACTTTAAAATCTTATAAAATTCTTAATTGTTTTGGTACTTTAATTTTGATATTGCATATATGGAAATATAAGTACTATGTACTAACTAGTTGCTTGATCTGCTGTATGGAAAATAAAAAACCAAATTCACAAAATTTTAGTTATATCCTTAAATAAAATTTCACAAATGAAATATTTTCCATTTGTTAAAGCATTTTTATTGTATTATTTATGGTATTTTTATTTTAGTAAGAAATAGAAATCTCAAAGACAAACATCTTAAAAGAACTGTGAAGTGATTTAAGAAACATTCATGGAATTAAATGCCAAAGAGACACTTAAAAGTTATGAAGATTTAAGTATATTGTTATGTACTCTATTTTCTAATTATTCAAAAGATCTACAGTAAAAATATGCCAGTAAATAAAAATAAGACATTATAGCCGGGCATAGTGGCACATACTTGTAATCTCAGCACCAGGAGGCTGAGGCAGGAGGATCACTGTGAGTTTGAGGCCTGTCTGGACTACAAAGTGAGTTCAAGATCAGCCTGAACCATGTAATGAAACTGCCTCAAAGAAGCCCCAAAACAACAACAGCAACAACAAAAATGAGATGTTACAGAAAAACAGGACATCATGAAATAGATTATGTAGCATCACTCATGACTTCATTTTTGTAAAGTAGTAGGAATATGTAGAGATTAAATTTGAATTATATACATTTAGAATTTACTTTGTAACAGACAATGAATTAAGGAATTTATAAGCATTTTTTGTTTTGGTATTAATGGTATCACTAATTTGAAGCTAGACAAAGACTAAGTTTTGTACACAAATTCACAAGGTCAGCTAGCTAGTGGCAGAGCTAATATGGATAATCAAGTAGATTGAATGAAAACTTTGATGCTTTTAGCAACCTGTCTATACATATGTAAGTATTAGAGATGTGAAAATAGTAAACAGTAAACTTCAGGGATGTGGAGTCAAAAATGTTTCTTTGTTGAGTAAATTTTCAACTTCAACAATTACTTTATCATTAGTACAAGAATACACGATCAAGAATTAGACACTTATGCCAGGCATGTTAGCACACACCTGTAACCCCGCACTCGGGAGGCTGAGACAAGATTATCACCGTAAGTTTGAGATCAGCCTGAGCTACCTAAGTGAGTTCAAAGCCAGCCTGGCTACATACTGGGGCCCTGCCTCAAACAAGTAAGCAAACAAAAAATAGGCACTTAAATATAATTTATTGCATTTTATATCACTTAGACTCTAGTTTCCCCAGATTATTAATAACAGCAAGAAGCAGTAGATCTAGGAATACAAGAATTGAGGTGTAGATAGGGTAGAGGGGAGGGTTATCAGGAAAACGTAGATTAGGCATGACCAAAAATTTTATTCATGAGCCTACGTAGAAATAAACCTATAATGTTGCTTAGAAAGTGGCTATATGATAAAAAAAATTGATTTTGTTTATAATAATATTTTCGTTAAAGAAAGATTCTCTTGCTTTGATTTTTCTTCTGTTAAGGTTTCATCTAACTCCTTTTCTTCCTTAAAAAAAAAAATAACGATGTGTAGGAAGGCACAGGTGTTCCCTGTGACTACAGTGCACCCCGGCTCATTTCATTTCCCTTCCACAGCAAATAGAAGCTCAGCCATCCAGCCCCATTTTACCAAAATTAAACAGGAAGGGCTGGTTTAATTGTTTTGATAGTCTGCTGTTATTGAATGACTTGCATAGATGGATTTGAAATTTATTGGCAGGCAGCTGGATTGTCAGAGCTTAATCTCCATTTAACAGTTCTCAGTCTGCTCCACATTCAGTAAGATCCCTTTGCTCAGATAAAAACACACAGAAAGCCCTGCTCTCGTAGTCCTTTCTAATCAAAGAACGTACCCAGTGCGAGACCTATTTCAGCGTAATACAAATTACATAGAAAACCCCCAAACTCATTTAACACAGCATGTTGTGTGCTTCTCTATTTAGAATAATTTTTCAGTCACTTTTTGCTCTATTTTGTGTAAGAAAAGAGCACTGAAGCGCGTATGTTTCTTAGTGCAGTCACATAGCAGGGGTGAGGCTTCTACGAAAAGGTAACAAGCCAAAAAAATGCTTTGGAGAAAACAGTGATGCCTCTCTGGGAATATTCCACAGATTCAACACACTCAGGGCTGGAAATTAACAACACGCTGTAGTTCAGCGTTCTACCTATGTACTGTTGTTTCATTCAGATATAAAATTAAAGATTCTGTAATGAAATTGATTACAAAGTACAGCTAGAAAATTATAAGACAACAGAATTGTAATTGTCATTATGATGAGAAATGTGAAAAACAATGTTAGAATATCCCGCCATAGAGAGTAGTTATTTAAACTGCAGGCAGATGAAATGGATGAATTAAAACAGAGGTCATTAGTCCCTGATGGCCGTCATTCACCTCTTTTAAAATATTTCTTTCAAAATGTCAAACCAAAAATAAATGTTACAGCTTTTTGTATTCTAGCTGTAATATTATGAATATTACAGAGAATCACTGTAACCTCACAGGAAACATTTATGTAATCCAGAATGCTAAGACACGTGGCCCATTTTAAAAGAGAAAACACACACACACACACACACACACACACACACACACACACACACACTTAAAACATAACAGTAAAAAGACTAAATATAAAAATATCTGGATTCTGCATGTTTTTTTTTTCACTAGCCAAAAAATTTTGTGTATTACTGATTAAACTACTGGGTCCTTTATATTTTTAGTTTTCTTTCTTTCTAACTTTCCTTTCCTTATATAATGTCTTGCTTACTAAGAGTTCTTTTTTTCAATCCTGTGTGTTGGTATATCCTCTAGATTTTGTTTTTCTCTTCTCCCCTAATAATCACCCCTTGTACAGGATGCCGGTAACTATTCTTGCTAATAAAACTTTTAAATAATTATAGATTTAAATTTAATAATTTATGAAAATTCAAGATTCAAGGTTGGTACTTCAGTTAGAAACAAAATATAGTTCTAGAGTAATAAATAATAAAATAAAACTAGAAATTTCTTCTAGCTTTTAATATTATTGAGGCTTTTAGTAAAAACTAACAAAAAGGAAAGGAAAAAATAAAATAAAGATTTTCATGAATTGTGATTGTAACAGTAAAAATTATTCTAACAATATACATAACTTGAATAGAGTGAAGATGCTATAATACAAATAACACAAATCCTTTCCTTGTTAAAATTTTATTTTGAAGAGATTAAGATAAAAGAGGACATAACAAAGCAGATCAGAACAGAACAATTTAAGCAGCACAGTATTTCACCACAAGACAACCTGATATAACAGTAGCTACCATAATGTCTCTTTCCTTGAAATAGTTGAGTATACCCTCATACACAATATTATCAAACATAACAAAATAGTATAAACCATTAAAGAGAATGAAAATATTACAGGGCATTCACAACCAAATAACAGAAAACAAACAATGGTTACTATATTTTTTCATTGTCCATAAAAAATTGTTTATACTACCACACATAATAAAATCCAATAAGATACAACATGATACAACAAATGGAATGTTCTGTATGTTCTTTGGCCTAAGTCTGTTAGTCTAGTTTCTGGTCTGTGTATATGATACATTTATAAAGTACTATAAGATAAATATATGTATCTATTGCTGCAAAAATGTGAAAGAAGGATGGAGGGAAGGGGAAAAACACACTGACATGGTATGTACATGTAGCAATTCCTTACAGTTTAAATATTATTTACTCCATATACTAAAAAAAGTTTTTAAAAATGTAAATAAACAGAAAATATACAGCAATATAGTGAAAAAACCTATTAGACCTAATAATGAATAGAGTAAAAAACAGTGTTTCTCAAGAGAGGACATCCAAATGGAGAGGAGTGTTATGAAAAAGACTCATCATC